CATAGAAATTCGGACCCTCACCAACCCCCCAGCCCTTCCCCGCCGCTGTAAAGATCTGGCTGTCCCGGCTGGCCTGGGGCTAAGATTGTAGCCCCACTCGAATTGTGCGATTGTTGTGTTCTTTTTAACATGCTGTATTGTTTATTGTTTGTCTTTTCCCCCTCCCTTTTTGAATTGTGAGCCGCCCTGAGTCCCCTCAGGGAAAAGGGCGGCATACAAATAAAGGCAAAACCAAAACCAAAACCAAATCCCTTGAAATTCCTGAAAGAGGGACCCACCTCGGCAAAGCAGAAGGAAGCGTCGTACTTCATGTAGACCAAGCCGTTCTTGATGGCCTCCACGGAGCAGGGCCCACAGCAGAAGATCCCTGTTGGAAGAGATGCGAGGTGAAGGCGAGGGAGGAAACGGAGAAGAGGGACCGACGTCTCCACCGAGTGTCCTACGTTCGATCCAGAACCTTCCTCGGGTGGGTTTCCAAGGTTGGAGATCCCGTTTCCATCGGAGAGGAGCCAAACTTACCACTGCTGGATTCCTGAGGGGTTGCGTCCACCACTTGCCACCCGTCGAATCCCGAAGGCAGATCTGGTCTCTTCATCCAGCAGTCGTTCCAGACGTGGAAATTCCTGCATCCAAGGGAGGAAACGGAAGGGTTTAGGGAAGGGACTTTAGAGGTCTTCTAGTCTATCTTCAAAAAAAACAACAACAGGAAATTCGGTTGTCTCTTGAAAAAACACCTTTGGGACAACCAGGACCTAGATGATTGAGAATCTCCCTAGATATTCTTAATATGTTCATCAGTTGCTCTTCCCTGCACACTTGTTCTTCGCCTCTCCACCTGAACACCCATGGAGGAGGATGGAGGAGGAGACGGAGGAGGAAGAGGAGGGGGGAGGAGGAGAGGGAAGATGAGGAGGAGTAGTAGTAGTAATAGTAGAAGAATAAGGAGGAGAGAGAGGAGATGGAGGAGGAAGAGGAGGGGGGAGGAGAGGGAAGAGGAGGAGGAGGAGGAGGAGTAGAAGGAGGAGAATGAGGATGAGGAGAGAGACGAGGGGGAGGAGAAGGAGGAGGAGGAGGAGGAGGGAGGAGAGGGAAGAGGAGGAGAAGGAGTAGTAGTAGAAGGAGAACAAGGAGACAAGGAGGAAGAGGAGGGGGGAGGAGGGGGAAGAAGAGGTGAAGGAGTAGTAGTAGTAGTAGGAGAATGAGGATGAGGAGAGAGAGGAGGAGGAGGAGGAAGAGGAGGAGGGAGGAGAGGGAAGAGAAGGAGTAGTAGTAGAATGAGGAGACGAGGAGGAAGAGGAGGGGAGGAGGAGTGGGAAGGAGAGGTGAAGGAGTAGTAGTAATAGGAGGAGGAGAATGAGGACAAGGAGAGTGAGGAGGAGGAGACAGAGGAGGAGAAGGAGGAGGAAGTGGAGAGAGGAGGAGGAGAGGGAGGAAGAGGTGAAGGGGTAGTAGTAGTAGAAGAAGAAGGAAAATGAGGACAAAGAGAGTGAGGAGGAGACAGAGGAGGAGAAGGAGTAGTAGTAGTAGAAAGAGGAGAACGAGGAGAAGAAGAGAGAGGAGGAGGAGAAGGAGATGGAAGAGGAGAAGTAGGAGATGGAGGAGGAAGAGGAGGTGGGAGGAGAGGGAAGAAGAGGTGAAGGAGTAGTGGTAGAAGGTGGAGAATGAGGACAAGGAGAGTGACGAGGAGGAGACAGAGGAGGAAGTGGAGGGGGAGGAGGAGAGAGAAGAGAAGGTGGAGTAGTAGTAGTAGAAGGAGGAGAATGAGGATGAGGAGAGAGAGGAGAAGGGGGGAAGAAGTGGTGGGGGGAGGGAGGAGAGGAAAGAGGAAGAGAAGGAGTAGTAGTAGTAGAAGGAGAGAGAAGGAGGAGGAGGAGCAGAAGATCTCATGTCCTCACCACACAGAGTCGGCGTTGAGGTGCTCCAGGGGCTTCATGTTCTCATCAAAGTAGATGTCCATGGTGAGGCTGACGTCCGTGTCGTGAGCCGAGTTGTAATTGGTGACCGTCCGGGTGGCAATGCCCAGGCACCGCAGAACTGGCGGGGAAGAGGGACAGAGGGGAGAGGGTATCAGCAGAGGAAGCCTAGCTGGTTCTACTCAATCAGTATCCAAAAAGTTGGCCGGATTTTTCGACTGCTTTTCAAATCAACTTGCTCTCCTGAATCTTTGCAAAGATTCCGGATCGGCCGGCGAGCCTCAGGCGAACTCAGGTCTTTGGACAAATAAGGCAGGTAGTCCTCGACTTACAACTGTTCATTTAGCGACTTACAACTGTTCATTTAGGGAACGCTCAAAGTTACGACAGCACGGAAGAAAGTGGCTTACTTCCACTCCTCGCACTTACAACGGGGGTGGCATCCACAGGTTCACACAATGTTCAGAGCCAGATTCACTTAACAACCATGCGATTCACTTAACAACCATGTGATTCACTTAACAACCACGCTCATTCGCTTAGCAACTGGGGGGGGCTAGGGGAAACATCGTAAAAGTGGGCAGGACACGTTTTGCAATCGCTTTGCTTCAGATAGACAGA